CTGATGACGGAGGCAGTATGACCTCTGAAACGTTGGTTAACATCGACCAGACTACACAGCGCAACAACCCAGAAGACGGATATCTTCATACTCACCGCTGTGAGAACCTCAAGTCTTACATACAGCATTTTACATACGAAGCAAGATTAAAGAGAGATCACAGATCATGTATTTTCACCAATGCACACGACTCTTAATGGAATGTTTAGCAGTTTGTTAATTTATGAGAACAGTGAAACTGCCCAACATGAAATGGGATTCTTACTGTAGACACTGATTTTACATCGTGGAATTATGACGCTGGGCGTTCATCCAGTTGCATAAATAAATACGATCTCACTACCTGAACGTGACCGTCATGGAGCTATGCAACAAGTGAAAGTTAGGTGCTTGCCGGACTGCAGCCAACGTTTCAAAGACTGCCTTGTTCATGACGGAGAATGAAGTGGCCACAGTCTGACAGTCCATTAATACAACTCTGGCGCTAGTTGCCTTGTAATCCTGGGGTCTCGGGTTCGATTCCCGGCGGTGCCCGAATTTATAACTTGTGTTGGGCAAGGCCGTGGTCTAGGCAACACGGAGTTTTCCTCCGTGGCATCCCAACAATTACTCCATTCACACACAGAAGAAGGCAATGGCAAACCACTTCTGGATCATCTGCCAAGAACGTATATGAACAGGTCCCAGTCCGAGAAAAGGATGGAAGGATCCTGTTCATATGGACCTGTCGTCAGACAGAACACTAAATAAAATAAAATCATTTTTACATCGTTACCGCCTTTAGAAAAATTCTAAAAGTTGCCTAATAGTCGCAGCATTTGTATAACAGAACATTCTGCCGTCTAGCGTCATTAGTGAGAACTCATGCATATCCCCCGTACAAACCTGTGTTATTATTGGCCAGGTATTTGGGTTAATAAACTTTAAAATCTTATAACTTGGCATTTTAGAATAGTTTTGAGAGGACTTGAAGATGCGTACACAACTACGGGACTCTCACGTTGACATTAACTGCATCGAGTTTGT